TTATAAATTTAAATATTAGATTTATTAAAAAGTGATATAATTAAATTTATATAGCTTTATATATGAAACACTTTCACTAGTGTAGTGTATAAAATATCACTAGGTGAAAGAATAGTGGTATATAATGCAACATGGTAGGTTCATTATGGGGAGACGTTGAAGTGATAACCTTGCCTACGCTATCGGTATACGCTGATAGGGCACCAGTGAAGCTCATAGATGTCGAATTTGCTGCGAGACCGCGTGGAGTTCGACCTGGTAAGATATAGTATAATTATTTTTGTACTTGTAATGTCTCGATTGCATCGTTTCGCCTCCATTTCCTTTAATTATTGATTTATTTTTATTGATCTCCTTTTACTAACCTCCTCTTCGGAGTCGGTTAAAGCGGGAACTGGACTATGGACATAGCAATAGCCGGCTATGGCAATGGTATGCAATGGCTTCATTCCGTGTCGGTGGTCACAGTATGCACTTACTGTTTGCACCGGAAGTTTTGCTATGATATATGTAATATATATATATATATATATATATATATATATTAACACACGCGCGCGTGCACACACTCACACTCACACACACACACGCACACGCACACGCACGCACACGCACACGCACACGCACACACACACACACACACACACACACACACACACACACACACACGCACGCACGCACGCACGCACATGCGCATATATATTATAGACTAGAAAATTATTGTTTATATATATGGATTTATAACTAAATTAGAAGTTAGGAAGCCACTGGCTCCTGACATACAGTCAACTGTAATTTGGGAGTTAGGACTACAGTCAATATTATTTTATCCAATACAAAGTTTTTTTTTTATTGGATGAAAATGGAGTGGTAACCCCGCCTGCGCTAACGGGATACGCTGGCGGGGCACCAGTGAAGGGTGATCGATGAAGATGAAAACAGGCCAGTTGGTCCATCATGATGAATTCATCAGGAATTAACCATGATAGTTTCCAGGCGGAACCGCGAGGAGATCGACCTGGTTGGGTATATTGCTAGCAATGGGATTCTCAGTCTCCATTACTAACAATCCCTTTTCCCCCCGTATTATTATTATTATTAAAAAGTGCCTCTTTGGCCGACATTGAGTCACACGAGTACACTTGTATATCGTTAAAATCCATTTGTTTTCAGCGTCGAATGATTTAATAAATAAGTCAATCGGAACAAATGATGGTAATGTAGCGAAGTCACAGAATAACCTACCGCAGAAATATCTTTAGAATAGAAACCATCTTTATTGTTCGTAATCTCTTTTAAATTGTCATTTTTTTATGATTCTAACGCTGAGTTCTTTTTTATTTTTTTTTTGTTTTTATACATCTTAAAATGGCAAACAAGCTGACGGCCCACCTGATGGAATATGGTAACCGTCGCCTATAGACATGAGCAGTACCATGGACATAACAGAGTATACTGTTTCGTTCATGATACCCCCCATGCGTTGCTATTCCTGAGGACACAGGTGTTATTCCTCTGTACCCAGTAAATTCACGCCATATCCCACCCTTCAAACCGAAACACAGCCATGCAAACACAACTGCTTCACGGTAGAAACACGAATGGGACAGAGGTACCCAAGGAATCGACTTTTGTACAAAGTCTCCCTCCCTTCAGAATGTCCTCATCTACTGAGAAGAACCAGCAAGGAACTCAGCAATAATTCTTGTACATAAATAAATTGTATTCAACATATAGGATTATTTTACATTAGCGGCCCGTCCCGGCGTCGCACGGGTGGACATTTTTAACATTTCCCTTCACTGCTCTGCTCCTATTGATCGTAGCGTGATGAAAAGTATATTATAATCTGCCCAGGAGTATGAAGAATAATTGTACTAAGTTTCGTTAAAATCCGTCAAGTAGTTTTTGTTTCTATAACGAATATACAGACAGACAGACAAAAAATTTTCTGATTGTATTTTTGGCATCAGTATCGATCACTAATCACCCCCTGATAGTTATTTTGGACCTCTCTACATATTTATTATAAGTATAGATTACAGTATCTATTAGAGGGGGAAAGGGATTGTTAGTAATGGAGACTGAGAATCCCATTGCTAGCAATATACTTAACCAGGTCGACCTCCTCACGGTTCCCCCTGGAAACTATCATGGTTAATTCCTGGTGAATTCATCATGATGAGCTAACTGGCCTGTTTTCATTCTCACCTCTCACCCTTCACTGGTGCTCCGCCAGCGTATCCCGTTAGCGCAGGCGGGCTTACCATACCATTTTATCCACAAAAAAAAGTACCTATTAGAAATTCAAGAGAATTTATCTTTTCAAATATTTGTTAACATTATTTGTGTATTTATTTAAATGTATTTGTTTTTAAAATAACTTGCTCCGTTTACGTTCTATACAACTTTTGTTTTCTATTTTCTGTTGATATAAATTGTATTAAAAAAAAAAAAAAACAACGTAATATTAATTGTTTCATTTTATTGCCTATTTTCTTTTGTTCTAATTGTCTGTTATCAGACGTTTTTAATTTCCGTTTCGTTTCTCTTCTCTCTTGTAAAATTCACTACAGCTAAATACACATTGCGATTTCAGGGTCGATATCAAAGTGTTCGCAGAGTTGTTATTCTTATACGAATATCATTTGTAACTGCGTTTATATTAACAAAAAGTAATGAAAATAAAGTAAAAAAAATATAATTCAGCGATATTATAATGCCCATTGTGAGCTGTTTAGTAAGGAAATCTGAGTTTCCGACATCCGTTCGAACGCGCAGTGAACTTTTCAAAACAAACTTGTCGAGTAAAAGTGAACGTGACTATAACGTGATACTCGTATTGACTCAACTCGCTCTGACCCCTCTGAATACACAGCTTCCGTCAATAAATTAGATTTGCACGTAATTATAAATTCATCGGAATTATGTTCGTTCTCGTTTTGTGTACATTTGCGTTTGGGCAACTTTGTACCAGAATGTGTTGAGATTTATCACGAACAGGACGTTTTGTAACACTACACTCTGGCCATGCTGTGTATTGGTGGCAAGGAATGTAAACAATTACAAGAATACGGAGTATTTTGTGTTTATTTCCAAACTAACTTTCATCCGCGACTTCGCGTGCCTGCTACTTGTTTAAGGATCATCCTCGGTACTAAAGTGATCCGAGGTAATGTTTCTTGGCCGCGTTAAAAAAAAGTAGTACGTAGAATTAGAAAATATATTAAATATCGAACGGAGGCAAATGTAATGGACACACACGATGCATTTTATTCATATTTCTTTTTTATTATTATTTTTATTAGGGAATTTCGGGACTGATTTTTGGCCGCAGTAGAATATCGGTGTTTTGTTCTTTTAAGGGCAAAGCAATAAACTGAGCTGTGACCATTTTGTGTTACTATGGCACACGCATGAAAAAAGGAAATTGTTGTTTTACATATTTTCCTTTTTTTTTTGTTGCTTTTTTGTTTTTCATTCTTTTATCTCTTTGACTGTGTATTATGTGTATGCTTGTATTGTAATTTGTGTGCTGTAAGTAATGCAAATAGATTATCTATCCATCTATCCATATTCAAATTATAAAATGTATTAAAACAGAAATATCGTGAATCAAAAATTCTAAAACGATACAAAATTTTACTCCCACATCTATTTGTAAGTTTTTGACACGTTCCTTTAATGGAAGTAGGCCACTACTAAAACACTGTCTATAAAGAATGCTATCGATTTCGTATTTGTTTGTAAAATGTGATGCTGGTTCTTGTTATTATATATTATTTATATTATATTATTTGTAAATAAAATTACCGTCTGTTGACTTGAAGTATATTATGTATTTTTTTGTTCTATTTGCAATTGTTTTATCAATTTTCTTTTTTATAAAAAAACTACAATTGTCAAAGTATATAAAAAGGTTAATTTTGAACAGTATTTACCAGCATAAACATGTAACGTAATAAATAAAAATTAAAATTATCTTGCTCAAAATATTTATAAATGCATTAACAATGTAATTTACAAGTGCAATAAAGAATATATTTGTCCAATACTTTCTTGTGCCACAGTTAGTACTAGTATAAAAAATAATAATACACTATCACTTCTCGTCCCCGAAACATTACGGTGTTTTAAGCGATTTGGGGAAACAAAACATAAACGCCTTCAAAGCAAAAAAATATCTCCAAATTCCATTAAATAAAACTAATTCGAATGACGCCGGTAGGTTCGTCCAATATAGAGCAAATTTACATTTTAAGCTCGATAAAGTGTGGGCATGCGATTGTGATACTTTTTACAATAGTAATAGTTATTAAATTCTTTTGATTACTTCATAAAAAATCCAGAGTTTAAATTTAATTTTTTTTTACTAAAAACAAAAATTCCATACCTAGATGTAGATAGACACATTATTATCACACAATTATTATCTAAGTATAAATCATACTTCACACCAGATCCCATATCTACGGAAAACTTCAACCGAAATTAGCTACTTTTGGATATCAACAGATTGTCTCGTGTTCGAGACATATATTCGTTTAATTAACGCAATCCTTATCTCAGACATTATCAGTCCACTGCTGAACATAGGCCTATCCCATAGACAGCCATCGTTTCATTATAATTCCATTAAATTCTGTTGCAACAGACTATAATTTTCTTTTATATTAATGATCAATCAAATCTCTTTGTACTGGTGGGATTTTATAAATAATAATAAAAAAAAATATACAGTTCAAAAATTTGAAAACAGAACGCAATATATTCAATTAAAAATACATTTCAAATATAGAATGCAGAGACAAAAATTTATGAGTAAATAAAAAATAAAAGCATAACTAACATTCGACGCGCAGAATTGAAAATATAAAAAATACACAAACAAAAATAATTTTTAAATGAATGAAAAATAACGTATAGAATACAACAACATACGACACTGGTGTCCACTAGGTGTGCCATCGATATACTAAAAAAAAAGGTAACAGACTTACCGTTCAGTTCTCTCATATTATCTATTAGTAATAATTAATTTCAAACAGATGGTTGTAGTGCGCGCGCGCGGTTTAAACTGAGCAATTGATAACTCGGGTCTAATATAGATACCGCGACCTTACCACGATCAAGGACGTTGCGTTTAAGGATACTGCAAGCGTTCATTACAAATCTACTATTGTGAACGGATCATGCGCTGGATTTATAAACCCTTAGTTTTTTTTTTTTGATGGGTAAAAATGGTGTGGTAACCCCGCATACGCTAACGGTATACGCTTGCAGAGCACCAGTGAAGGGTGATAGATGAGAATGAAAACAGGCCAGTTAGCCCATCATGATGAATTCATCAGGAATTAACCATGATAGTTTCCAGGGGGAACCGCGACGAGGTCGACCTGGTTGGGTATATTGCTAGCAATGGGATTCTCAGTCTCCATTACTAACAATCCCTTTCCCCCTATAAACCCTTAGTTGATGGGGAGACGAGGATTGTTGACACACGTAATGGGGTCTAGCGGTCCTATTTGCACTACACTAGGTCGACCACCACGCGGTTACTCCTCGGAACCCACCGTGAATTTTAACCGACTTGACATCATCGTTATTTAACCTAACTGGTACTCCGCCAGCGTATACCGATAGTTTAAAACTGGTTGCGATTCTATTTTCATTAAAAAAACACCATGGTTGATGGTTTTAGTACTTTTTTTTATGGATGAAAATATAAATTTAATAAAAAAAATAAAAAATAAAAAAAATTATCCAAGCCTCGAAATGCAGTTCTTTCACTAAAAGAAGCTGTGAGATCTCAAGTATAGAAAACCAAGTCAGTTACTTTAGTCAGTGTCTATGGGAGCACGTGTTCAAGGACTTTGTTGTACAAAAGTCGATTGTTTGGATACCTCTGTCCCATTCGTGTTTCAACCGTGAAGCAGTTGTGTTTGCATGGCTGTGTTTCGGTTTGAAGGGTGGGATATGGCGTGGATTTACTGGGTACAGAGGAATAACACCTGAGTCCTCAGGAATGGCAACGCATGGGGGGTATCATGGATGAAACAGTAGTCTGATATGTGCATGGTACTGCTCATGTCTATAGGCGACGGTTACCACTTTCCATCAGGTGGGCCGTTAGCTTGTTTGCCATTCTAAGTTGTATAAAAAAAATATTTAATCAATTGTCTATCAACATTCATGGTGACTGTATGAAGTTCAGACATCATTATTCCTATAATGATCTTAATAATAACATTGACATAAAAATTACAATTTAATTGAGAAACTGCTCCTTTTTTGAAGTCGGTTATAAATGAACGCAATACGACAGTATTTGATAGGAAATAAGAATTATCGAAATCGGAATAAAATTAACAGATATATAGCACAAAACGAGTACATTTTCTTAACAAAAAAAAAAAAACATGTACTCGTAATATGAAAAGAGTTTTTTTAACCTTGGCGCATACATTGTAAAAAGATTGGGTTTTCTGATACCTAACCCATGATTATAGTTGCGGTTTCACCTTTTCAATACAGTTCTTAAAGGAGATTCACATTTTATCTTGTTTTTTTTTTGTTGTATCATACTATGTATTGTGTTATAACAATAAATTTATATTGAATAAAAATATAAAAAATATGGGGGGAAAGGGATTGTTAGTAATGGAGACTGAGAACCCTATTGCTAGCAATATACCCAACCAGGTCGACCTCCTCGCGGTTCCCCCTGGAAACTATCATGGTTAATTCCTGATGAATTCATCATGATGGGCTAATTGGCCTGTTTTCATTCTCATCTATCACCCTTCACTGGTGCTCCGCCAGCGTATCCCGTTAGCGCAGGCGGGGTTACCATACCATTACCACCCATAAAAAAAATATATATAAAAATATTGAGTATCAACCATGTTGGTATAGCGGTTTAACACTTCGACTCATCTTCCAATGGTCGTGGGTTCGATCCCCATGGACGACTAACAATTTTTTTCATATGACTATTTGTATTGATCTAGATGTTTTATATAAGTGTACAATATGTATATACTCGTATTTAGAAAAAAAAAATGTTAAGAATTTTTATTATTAGTCTGCTACATATATTACAAGTTTTGCTTATTTCAACACTAGATGGCGCCGTGCGACGTGTTCCAGTCGTAGTTGTTAACACGAGTAGGTTACAAAGTTATTAATAATTTCATTAATATGAAATTAGATCTAATTGCTGGCAGTGAGATTTTTTTTTAATAGGTGATAATGGAATGGTAGCCCCACCCGCACTATCGGTATACACCGGCGGGGCACCAGTGAAGGATGATAGGTGAGGATGAAGTAGGTCAGTTAGCCCATCGTGACGAATTCAACAAGAATTGTTCACGATGGTTTCCAGGGGGAACCGCGTGGACGTCGACCTAATAGGGCTAATACCTAATATTGCTAGCAATGGGGTTGTCAAACTCAATTGCTAAAAATTCCTTTCCCCCCTGCAGTGAGATATTATTTTATCTATTATTATATATTCTAGTTATTTAATAGAAAAATAAAAGACAATAAAATGTCCTATCGATTTTGATGATATATTTCTGCTTCATATTTTTTTTTGATGGGTGAAAATGTTATGGTAACCCCGCCTGCGCTAACGGAATACGCTGGCGGAGCACCAGTGAAGGGTGATAGATGAGAATGAAAACAGGCCAGTTAGCCCATCACGATGAATTCATCAGAAATTAACCATGATAGTTTCCAGGGGGAACAGCGAGGAGGTGGACCTGGTTGGGTATATTGCTAGCAATGGGATTCTCAGTCTCCATTACTAACAATCCCTTTCCCCCTGTGTTCCATATAAGTTTTGTCCAGTTTGAAGTCGTATATTATTTCTTGTTTTCATTAAAAACTTCAGCGCAGGTGGAAGTGTGGCGATATAAATCAAACCGACTTTACGGTTGGCATTCGGAATAGAGGAGCGAGACGTCGTGAATAACACCAGAGTCCTTAGGAATGGCAATGCGTGGGGGGTATCATGGGCGAAACAGTATACTCTGTTATGTCCACGGTACTGCTCATGTCTATAGGCGACGGTTACCACTTCCCATCAGGTGGGCCGTCAGCTTCTTTGCCATTCTATGTTGTATAAAAAAATCAAGATTAACATTTTTTTTCTTTCAAATAATCCAAAAAAAATGTGTATTACGTTTACAAGATGTAAGCTTTATTGTTAACAAAAAAATATTTTTGTTATCAATACAGTTTACTACCCAATTGTTTTCGTATAAAAATTATTAGAACTACAATAACAGCTGAGCTATATCTCAAATCGTTCCAGTATACGTATAGATGATACGGAAGGTGTACATGCAAATAGTGACATAAAGAACTAAGTAGACGCTCTTATTAATTAATTATCATTAAAAATGATGTTACAATGCAATTTGGTTTCTACGAAAATATGCAAATGTTAAATTTTAGAATGTTAAGTTGATACAATGATAAAAGCTTCCGCGGTCTGCTCGTGTCAGATGTTTTAATAAATTTTCAATCGACTTCAAAATTAAGGAGGTTTGTAATTCTTTTATATATATATATATATTTTTATGTTTATTGACTCATAACTCAGTCAGTTGTAAACCGATTTGGAAAATTCTTTTTGTTATACAATTTGGAATGGCAAACAAGCTGATAGCCCACCTGATGGAAAGTGGTAACCGTCGCCTATAGACATGAGCAGTACCATGGACATAACAGAGTATACTGTTTCGCCCATGATACCCCCCATGCGTTACCATTCCTGAGGACTCAGATGTTATTCCTCTGTACCCAGTAAATTCACGCCATATCCCATCCTTCAAACCGAAACACAACCATGCAAACACAACTGCTTCACGGTAGAAACATGAATGGGACAGAGGTGTTCAAGCAAACGACTTTTTGTACCGCCTCCCTCTGGTTTTTTTATCTGAAAGGATATATTTACAGAGTGGACCCATAGAAATTTTATTAAAATCAGAAAATAACGGTTATATTGCCACAATTGTGGTCGGTTTTTCTTCGTGGAACATAATGTAATTATAAATTTTACTTGATTGCATCAGACGGTCGATTAATCGAGTAAAGGAGGAGTTACTAAATTTGTCTACGTTTTTGTAAGTACGTAGGTATGTATGTCACGCGATATCTTCATTTATTCTAAATCAGTTTTGATAATTACATTTTGGTATACGATTTATGGTTACGTAAGTAAAATACTTTAAATTTAAATAATTACCAATAAATAAATATTAATCAAGCTGAACAAACAACCGCTGGGGAAGAAAGGTTCTTGAGTGGCGACTCCGTACAGGAAAACGCATAATGTAGGACGATCCCTCCACTAGTTAGAGTGACGACTTCAAATGTATGTTTTTTTTTAATGGATGATAATGGAATGGTAACCTCGCCTGCGCTATCGGTATACACTGGCGAGGCACCAGTGAGGGATGATAGGTGAGGATGAAGCAGGCCAGTTAGCCTACCATGACGAGTCTAACGATAAATCAATCATGATGGTTTCCAGGGGGAACCACGGGGAGGTCGACCTGACAGGGTATATTGCTAGCAATGGGGTTACTAATCCCTATTACTAACAATCCCTTCTCCCTCCACTTCAAATGTATTGCAAGGAGATGGTGGATGCAGATGGTTTAGGACCGTTTCTTATGGTAGTCTATGGGGGAGGCCTATGTTCAGCGGTGGACGGATAATGGCTGAAACGATGAAGATGATCAATGAACCATACTGAGCTATTTTTATTTTAAAATGACATAGGTCTACCTATGTCATTTTAAAATAAAAATAGCTCTTAAGTCTATAATAATTAAGTGTTTTTTTTGTTTAGCAAAATCTAATTGTTTTTCTATCACATTTAGCTTTGACTAAGTGTATTTTGAACTGTAAATGAGTGTCTCCTAAATCAAAACTTGTTTGAAAATTGCAAAGATATTCAAATAGTAATAATGTCAATGTTTCTTAACAATGGAATTAGTTGTGTTGCTTGTCGAGTACTTTGTATTGCTTTTGATTATAACAGACTATTACGAAGGGTCACGAAGGTGACATTTGATAGTAAACAGCTGTCCAGCCATTTA